AGGGAACGCTGGACTTCGAGGAATTCTGCGCTTTCTACAAAATGATGTCCACCAGGCGCGACTTGTACCTCCTCATGCTCACCTACAGCAACCACAAGGACGTCCTGGACCCCGAGGACCTCAAACGATTCCTGGACACCGAGCAAAAGGTAGGAGAGGTTGTCGCACACAGAGTCACAAGGCCCGCCTCTCTACCTCCTGCCACCTCCCTTGGGCCTCCTCAGACTCTTTCGGTCCCAGTTGCCAGCGGTGTCTCTGTCTCTCTCTGTCTCTGTCTCTCTCTCTCTCCCCCCCTCTCTCCCTCCCTCCCTCCCTCTCTCGCTCTCTCTCACACACACACACACTCACACACATACCACAAATACAAGTAGTCCTTGACTTACGACCACAATCGAGGCTGACATTTCCATTGCTAGGCGAGACGTTGAGCTTTGCCCCGTTTTGCAACCGTTCCTGCCGCCATTGTTAAGCGAGTTGCTGCACTTGTTAAGTGAACCTGGCTTCCCTTTTGACTTTGCTTGTCAGAAGGTTGCCCTCCCCCCCCTCCTCGGAGGCTGCAAGCGTCATAAATACGAGTCAGTGGCCAAGCGTCTGGATTTTGGTCACGGGGAAGCCGCCACAGTTGTAAGTGTGAAAAACAGCCCTTCCCCCCCCCCCCAACGCTGTTGTATCTTCACACGGTCAACGCACAACTTACAAATTTTGGGCTCGGTTGCGGTCGTAAGTTGAAGACTCCTTGGCTTACCACAGTTCGTTTAATGACTGTTCAGAGTTACAACGGAAAAAGCTGACTTACGACCATTTTTCACACCGACGATCTTTGTAAGCATTTGAATCAAACTTCAGATCCTTGGCCACTGGTTCATACTTACAACCGTTGCTGTGTCCCCAGGTCACGTGATTCCCCTTTTACAACCTTCCGACAAGTCAAATCAATGGGGGACGGGGGAGCTGGATTCACTTAACAATCGGCCTATCAACTTACCAAGGGCAGCAATTCCCTTAACGACCATGTCCAGAAAAGTCGTAAAACGGGGCAACATTCACTTCACAGATGTCAAAATTCACTTAACAACCCAAATGTCAGGCTCCACTGTGGTCGTATGTCGAGGACCACCTGTACCCACCACCATCTATCCCAACTTCACTGCTTTCCCCTCCCAAAAGCGATAATCGGTTCCACCCATTCATCGGCTCAGTCGTCTCTCGCAAAAACATGACTTTTCCAAGAACTCTTCAAAGTGATTTTTTGCTGAAATACAGTTTGGACTATAAACGCCTGGTGTGAAAATAAGGTCACCTCCGACAATCAGGGAAGTTGTCCAAATATTTGCAGACAAACATAAATCATCTTGGGGTTTTTTTTGCCCTTAAAAATAAAGTCCTTCTTAATATCGACAAACTTGTTGTGGCTTGCTGGCAGTGAGAGGAACTGGCTGCAGATTCAGAGAGTGAGGAGGTTGGGGAGGAAGATGGGCCAGTCCTGGAGTCTGGGGAAGGCTCGGTTGAGGGGTC